TCAATGGGAGTCTCCGTCCAAAATTTATACTAAAAATATACATTTATATTTTTTCCAAAATCAATAGTCATATATCCACTATGCTCGCGTTTCGCTCTGCTAGGGTTTTGCCTCACGGCGAATCCTAGCATCTGCTACACAGATTTCTCGCGCCGTCTATCGTCTTCGTCGTCGACGTTGGTGCTTGCGTCGTCGCGTCGTCGCGTTGTCGCGTTTCTGGCAGCAGAACTGTGCTTCGCGTTCGTCGAGTCATCTCGCCGTGCTGCGGTCTGGTTGGAGAGCTGTTCGTGCGGGCCTTGTGCTCTAGCGTCAGCTTGACATTGCTCTGCTCGACAGCTGAGCCGGGTCTCAACTCGACACTGCTCTGCTAGACAATTGACCCAGGTCTAAGCCAGTCGTCTGCTGCTTCCTTGCAGTGTCTCGACTGCCTTTCTTCATGGCAGCTTTTCATGCCCCTCTTGGGACTGAACCTACTTTGGAGGTGGGCAAACCCTTCTATGCTACAATATTTCACAAACACAGCTCTCTTTTACACATCGCAGATAGTGCGGTATTCCCGCAGATTTTTCATGATTTTGTTGCAGGAAATGACGATTGTAATCTAATAAAAAAAGTTGAGAAAAAGGCGGGCAAAACAACAATTTTCTTCTCTGACGCAGAAATTTCAACTCGTGCAGGAAAATACAAATTTACACTAGTTGGAAAGTTCCAATTAGGTTGCCCTAAGATGGATATCATTAGTAAAGTTTTTGAAGATTTCAAACTGATTGGGGATTGGCAGGTAAATCATTTCGACGGAAGACATGTTATGATACATTTGAGCATAAAAGATAATTATACAAGAATTTTCTCAAAGAAATTCATCACAATTGAGGGCAAACATATGAAATTGCTCAAATGGATCCCTAATTTCGATCCCAGTCAAGAACCCCCAATTGCTCATACTGGTTCTCATTACCTGAACTCAAGTTTCTTTTCTTTGACCTACTTACCTTATATGCAATTGAGACTATCATTGGAAAAACTTTGCAGATAGACTTATCTACAGTTCATTTCTCAAGGCCCTCTATTGCAAGGATTTTGATTGAACGAGATATTACACTACCAGATATAGAAGAAGTCTGACTTGGATTTGCTCACAATGGTTATTGACAAAAAATCATTATGGAACAAAAACCTTGCTACTGAAAACAGTGTAAGATGTTTGGACACCTGCGAGATAAATATTTCAGATTGCACCCACAGTTGAGAACAAATAATCAAAAGCAAAAACATACTATTAGTACACCCCGTGTGCTTTAACGCGCTCCCAGCGAACCTGATGACAACCAAACCGAAGAGGGAATCATCACAAGTCAGGAGTTTGTATCTGCGCTTGGGATTCCTTCTCCTGACCATACTATTCCGGATAATGTTCGAACAAAAAATCAAGATAGTCTCACAGCTCCTATTCCGGAAGCGTCAGGTGCAGAGATAACAATTCTTCACACTTCCTTCCCATACACTGGAACCTATCGCGGTGACAACGACTGTCTTTCCTCTTACTGCGGTTCTAACATCAAATCAGATCGAGGATCAAATCAGATTGAGGATCACATGAGTCAGCAATTTTATTTTTATTTTTTTTTGGACTGGCTTTTACATGTTGATGCAGTAAACTCTCTGGAATTGTGAAGAGCTATGGGAAATATGAAGAAAGCAAATGACAATATACCAAAAAATGAATTCACAAGTTATTTATGTTAAATCTGTAAGACGAGAATTAAATTCTGAAATAAAAACCAAGATTCTTTATAGTTGAGTAAGTTCATAAATTGTTTAAACTCCATACAAGAAGTCATATTTAGAAAAAATAATCCTAATTTTGGATAAGTAATTCTTTTACTTGTTATAATCAAAACTACTTTAAATATTTAAAGACTGAATACAAATAAAATTATGCCAATAATTGATTTAGGCCTAAGATAATATGAAAATGAGTATAGTTCAGCTTTATGGTTTGCTTATTCATCATTTATGAGAAATTAGATTTGCATGAACAAATTACTGAATATTCTTCTTTGTTTTTTAAGGCAAGAACTCTCCTCACGAGAGTAAAGTGGAGTCTTCCCAAAGGCATATAATTTCTTCATCTTGTCAAATTATTTGTAGCACTAAGAAATTTTACCAGGTGAATCTTTGATTACCAAAATTTACGCACTTTGACAAACATAAATTCTCCACGTTAGAACGGTAACAAGTGCATTAAACTTGATGATGAATTTATGTCTTGGCAGAAAAGGTGAATACCAACTTTGTAATGGACCTTAAGAGCTTGATGGGGAAGAAAATTCTTCAATAGGATCCAGGTCCAATTAATAAAGATGAGGTCTCTCCTAAGGAGGTGCTAGTGAGTAGGTACAGCTAGCCACAAATTTCACCCCAACATTGATCTCTCCTCCCATACTAGTTTCTCAACCGCACTTAGCCAATTTTGAGGAATGGGAGAAGCAGGTTACTCCTAGAATGACTCGATACCTAAGTGATGAGAATACTCGTCTACTTACAGTTCCAGCTCAGGGCGTGCCAAAGGTGGACAGATACTTATTCTACCAAAATGTGCTTTGGAATGACAATGCCTAAAAAATTGACCTACCAAGGGATTGTAGTATTTCAGCCAATTTCATTTTCACATATCTGACACCGTACTTGAGAATCCGGAAGCTTCGACAAATGAGGTCGAAGCTCCCCCAATTTCAGGAGATTGACGCGGAGCTTTGGAGAGGAATCAACTGGTCCTCTTCTGGGGGGGAGTGTTTGCCAACCCCCTTTTCCCCCTTCTTCCTTTCCTTATTTCCTTTCTCCTATTCCCTCTTTCCTTCTCCCTTCTTTCTTTCCTACCACTTGAAAATTCTGAATTTCTAATTTCTATTAATTTTTATTAGTCTTTGCCTATTCTGACTTCTTCCTATTTTAAATATTGCCTAAATTATGAATTCTTATTATTTTTATTCTCTTCCTTATTTTAGAACATTGCCTGTTATAAATCCTTGCCTATTATATTCTATTCATTAACTAAAAGCATTGTCTAATATAGTTCTAATCCCTCTTATACATAAGGGTTGTTTTGCTTAGGGAGAAGTCTTTTATTGCTTAAGAATTCAGTGTTCTATTAGGACAACCACTTATGTCAGTTTTCCCCTTTGCGGGTTGTATCTGAAAGAAACGAAGTGTTCCGGCTGTCTCTCATCCTAGATGGTGACTGTCTCCAAGGGTTTGAGTGCTGCTCCGGCCTTAGATCGACCTCGAGAGGCATTTATCTTACCCTATGTTCGTATTCTTGCTGTCGTTCCGTCATTCTAGCCACCTCTGCTTCTTCCTTCCCGCTGTCGATCACTGACCCACCCTCATCTAGCCACTACGACCCCTTTTGCTCTTCCCCCACAGTTGTCCAACACTTCTCCAACCATCGCAACCCTCTTGCTTTTCCCTCGTAGCTGTCCAACAATCCTCCCACCCGCTCTTTTCTGTAGCTATCCAACACTCCTCCAACCATCAGAGCCCTTTCCTGCTGTTGCTGCCACCCCAACCCTCTCATACCACTGCCTCGCAGTCTCCGTCCTCGTTGTCTCTCGCACATATCTTTTATTGTTTATGTTGTTTGTGTTTCTTTGTCTGCACTTCTTGCTTTCCAAGTGTAGTTTGTAAGCTCTTACAGTTCAACAAAAATACTTTATTTTTTTGTCGGTATTTCTTGCTTTCCAAGTGTAGTTTGTAAGCTCTCACAACTCAACAAAAATTATGTGTTTCTTTTGTGGTTTGGGCTTTCTTTTCCGGTATCATTTGCTTTCTAGAAATTATTTTTTTAATAGGAAGCTATTTTTGCAATTATATTATTTAAATTGCAGTTAGGGGCGGAACCAACTTCTTTTTTTAGGGGGCAAACTGCCATGTAGGCCCAATTTGGGAAGAGCTAGGGCAACGTGATATTTTAGGGGGGCAAAAGACAAATTTGCCTTCTCATATAAAGTAAAAAAACTTGATTTGAGAGAGAGAGAGGGGCTACCTGGGATTGCCTTAGAGTGTGGCGGCTATAAGAAAGCTATTGTATGGTTTTCTTGAAAAAAAAATATTTATAATTTTTACCGTAGCTTCCTAAGAGGTTCTCTCTATCAAAGTTTTACAACCATCTTTATGAAAAGCTGCAACTACCCCCAAATGGACCCTTAGAGAGATGCTTTGGTGTCAGATGCCATTTACATCATTTCTTGTCATTGTTTCAACTTTTCAGCAATGCCCAAGAACTTTAACTTTTTGCTGCTTTATTAGTGGTGATGACAAGGGGGATGGAAGAATAAAACAATAAATTTTGGGAGAGAATTCTAATTAAACCTTTTTGCACGCAATTACACTTTTTTAAAACAGTCCTTATCCCTCTTATATGAAAACTAATACCCAAGCAAACTTTCTGTAGAAGCAACCCTAGATTCAAATAATGAACTAAATAAGTTCAAATTCAAAGCAAAATTATTTTATAATTTACTTTTTTCTAGAATCTAAAATCCAAAAACGAACTTTTATTAAACCATTAAAAATTTATCCATGTATTATTGTAACATTAAGTTTGATACAACTGCTAAAGTTCTTTATCTCCAGTTCTTGATCACCAAGCCTCTAATAACGATCAATTTTGTCAACTCCTGATGATGACCTCTTTCATTCCAATTATAACAAGAGGTCGGGCCGCTAGAACTTCAATTTATCACAGTCCCATTGAGCTTTTCATGATTTGTGCACTCATTTTCATCATAGAAGATCTAGTTAATTATCTGTTAGTTTTGATGCCTAGATATTAGGTAGTGAGAAGAGAGTGCTTTTCGCTCGGCAAATTGTTCACCCTTTTATTTTGTGGAAATAGCTGCCAAATGTTTAATTTTTTGGTTGATATTGTTTATTTTCAAAATTTTTAAGGTTTTTCTTTCCATGATAAAGCTAATGGCTACTTTCGGGTTAATTTCCAGGGATTTGTGGAAACTCGTTGTTCTGTTATGTAAAATCGCTGCTTCCTTAGGTGAGGCAAGCTATGTCGATTATTATGTTCGCGACTTCCCCTGTGTCTTATCTGATATTTATTTCTTCCAAAGGACTGTTACACAAAGAGCTCCACCAAGCCTCTTCCATTGGCTTGAAACTTGTCTACGACGGGGATGTCATTTGGCTGATTTAAATTACCTTCCATCTCTTATTTTTAAAGGTAACAGTAATGCCTTGTGCTGGGCAAGAAAAGTTGTATGTTTCTATAGTTTATTGTTAGGCGCTGAGAGGAATGGGAAGAAACTCTCTACTGGCGTATATTATGACATTGCTAAGGGAACTGCCCAGACACCAGAGGAACTCACTGTCTTGGCTATGGTTGCTGAAAGATTTGGACACCCGCAGCTTGATTTACTGCCTGTTGGTGTTTCTCTTCCTCTTCATCATGTAAGTTTTCTCATTGTATTAGTTTCGCATTGTAATGCCATATATGATTTATTTGGAGTAAAGTGCCAAAATAGTCCAATGACTGTTTACATGGTGGTATTTTAGTTACAATTTATAAAAGTGCCAAATTAGTTCCCAGATTCTTTAAGTTGAAGTTGAAATAGTCTTTCGTGGGGACTATTTTAGGCCATATTAAAATAGTTTGGGGACTAATTGACGCTTCTGTTGGCTCTGGGATTAAAATATTCCACTGCAAAAAGTCCAGGGGTTTTTTTGACATTTTTCTCAATTTATTTGTAATTTTGGGTATTTGTTTTTGCTTCCTTCTCACTTCTTAGTGCATGCTTATGGACCTCATTTTCGTCTAGAGAACTGATACTTATCCATTAAGATCATATTATAATTGTATTCACATTATTTTTGGGGAGATTTATATACGTAGCATGCAATTTTTATGTATTTACGTATCTCACACCTAAACATTCATATTTACATGCATAGCGCTGTTGTGTTTTAAACATATGCAGGAAAATGTGTATTTCACTTTAAGAAAAATGCTTATAGCGCTCTTTTTGATATGATATTAAAAATTTGAGTGATGTGTGTGTAAATATGAAGTTTAGGCGCGGGATATATAAATACATACTAATTATGTGCTGTATATGTAAATGCCCTATTTCTTACATACAAAACATAAAATTATTGCTTGTTCTCTTCATCTCATTTCTAGTTATTTGATATTTGAATTATCTTGCATTTTAAGGCATTGGATAAGTGTAGAGATTCTCCTCCTTCAGATTGGCCTGCAGCAGCCTATGTTCTTGTTGGGCGCGAGGATCTAGCAATGGCATCTCTTAAGCCTTTTAACCAACAAGAGAACATACAAAACAATGTGAATTTAACGTCCTTTTCACCAGCCTACAGGCTTCATTTGCGGCCTGTGACGGTTCCTTCATTTGTTTCTGAGAATACAAGAGTCGGTATTACTAAAGTAGAGGATGCAGATGCGACGAAATCTGTGGAAGATGGCATGGAGCACATTTTCAATTCAAACACACAGTTACGTTTCGGTCGTGATCTTCGTTTGAATGAGGTATGATTTTAACATTACAGTCCATTATATTTAATACATTTTGAGGAATATACTATAATGAGTACTACATTGTTTAAACCTTTATATGAGATACCACAACATTATAAATTCAATCTGATTTTGTTCTTCTTTTAATTAGTGATTTTGCATAATTTGCATCCTTGTAGATGTATAGTGTTTGTTGTCCTTTTGAATAGAATCATATTGCACTCATAGCCTCTTATCCACTAAAGCAGTCATGACCTTTTCTAATAGCTTAGAATTAACCAAGTCAGGAACTAAAGTCGAACCGTATTAACTTTTCATTTACTTTCTATAGATTTTTATAATTTCCAACTTATAAAAAATCCACTAAAAAATCATAATGTACAGTAAATTTAAATTTAATTCATTCAGAAATAACAAGAAAATCTGTAAGTAAAATAACATCTCAACCAAACACAACATTAACACCATTCAGAAGCAAACAATACAATGACTATAACCACACCACAATATAATACCTATTGGCTATAATCTTTATTCGATAAACTAAATTCTTTATGTCAGACATATCAATCTACAGTTTTACTTGAATGAAACAACTAAATAAACAGTAAGTTTACACAGTTTAGCGAATAATTTCAATCTTATTATGTATTTGATTAATATACAAATGCTATGCGTGAATTAACAAAGGAAATGTAATTCATTACTCAATCATACTGCAAGCTTTCATTTTAAACTTCCCATTTTAATTTAAGTATTTACCCTTTTAACATTTTAAAGAATTCATATTAGAATTACCGTCATGCGCAAATATTTCTTCAAAATATTGTACATGTAGGTAGCTTAAGAAATTTGCACTCGAAGGTATACCTTTATGAATTTTATTTTTTTTCGTGCACGGATACATCGCTTCTATTATCATTATCATCTTGTAGTAATCCTGATTGACATAAACCTTTAAATTTCATTTTTTAATTACTTCCATTTAAGGTCAATGAAATCACTATTTTTGCTTTTTTATTTTCTTGTCATTCATTTCGTTAATTCTTTAATTTACAACATGCCTCAAAATATAATAGCAAGTATATGAAGGAATAATGTAGTTTTGTATTTAATGAAACCTTAATTTAATACATACAAGAAAATAGTTTATCACCTTTTCCTTTAAAAACCTCTTTAAAGCTTATTCCCTCCTTTGTTTCCTTCGACTAACTATATATATATATATATATATATAATTTTTAATAAGAAATGCTTAAATATAGCTAATTAATTTAATTGTTTTTCTTTCAAATACCTTTGGAATAAAAAAGTTTTTTCAAATCTTACCACTAATTCTACTCATCAAAACTTAAAACATGTCTAATGATATATATTTAAAAACTACACATATAAATAAGTATATAAATGACTAACTTTAAAAGGTTTCAAATACATATAAGATTCGATTCGCTGATTCCGCCTCCAAACGCTTGGCTTCGTTGGGCTTTTGCTCTATCCCTTCTTCTTTCGAGCTTGGCTCGACTTCATCTGCAATTTTTTTTAAGTGAATTTAAGATGGAAAACATTGCATGTGCTTTGATAAGCCAATTTGTATGCTACATTTCCAATCCTCCCCATAATCTCATATGGACATATATATTTGTGTCTCTATTTTCTTGTCTTTCAAAATCTTTCCACACCCTTTTTAAAACTATCTTTCATATAAACAAACTCCCAATAGTCAGTTCTCAACATACACTGAACTTTCTTCTCCAGAAAGAGAGGCGACCATATGAAATAGTTCAAATACTTGTCCATCTGGCCTTCCCCATTAGAACTAACTTGAGTTTGAGAGTTTATAATCATATGAGTTACTCCAATCATCATCTCAATAAAAACATTAGCTTTCACAGTAATATGTGGTGTGTCAATTTCTTACACATCGTCTCTTAACTTTTTAACTGATTTTTATATCTCTGAAATAATATACGAAAAATTACAATTAAAGGCAATTTAACCCTTCAACAATATTATCTATCAATTAACTTAGTCAACCTAATGGTTCTTTGTTGATCATGGTCCACCAAACTGCATTGAACCATTTTTTTCATGACCTGACATGATAGTTTAGAATTAACCAATTCAGGAATTACGGTTAGTTGGTATAAACAACAATCACGTCACAACATAATACATATTTGTTGTAGTTCTTTTGTAAACTAAATGATTCCTGTCACGCATATCAATTATAAACAGTAAGTTTACACGACTTAGTGAACATTTTGATACTGAAGTTTACTCAAGCCACAATAGATATGCAAATTATTAATGTCGAAATTCAGAATGTTACAACGACCAACCATCCAAACAACAATTAAACGCAAGTAGCACCTAGGGCAAGGACGAAGGTGGTAAATGATGGCTGAACAACAGGTGAGAGGGGTGATTAGGGCTTGCGGAAGTAACTAGCAGTGTTGGCGGGAGTTGCCACTGTAGTAGGATGGACTAGAAGTAGTTACAATGCAGTGAAGGGTGGCTGGACAAAAGCCCGTAGCCAGTTGGTTGCAGCGAACTTGAGGGAGTGGGTTGGTGACATGATTAGGAGACGTGGGGAATAGAAAAGGGTTGAATGCAGGTAATGCACAGTGGTAGGGAGAAGGTTGGACGGTGTGGTTGGGAGTAGTGGAAGTGACTGCAAGGCCACGGGAGGGGGAGAGTGACAACAAGTTCACGGGAGAGGAAAGCGATAACAAGGTTATCGGAGAGGGGGAGATGGGTAGCAACATCAAGAAGGATGACCAGGGATGGTTACAGAGGGAGTTGGGGAAGATAAGCATCCCGCGGGATCAATTTACAGTCGAGGAATCCCTCAAGCTTTGGAGAAGATCACCACCTTGAACGAGTTACAACCGACACACCTTATTGCCTTCGGATACAACCCTAGACGGGAAAACCGTTGTCGACAACGAGCTAGATAGAAATCTGACATTAGTAAGACCAAAATTAAAACCCCTAAGCAAACAAAACAACATATATAATAGTATATAAAATAGAAGGGGAAGCCGTCCCCTTTGGGTGGCAAAGCCAACGCCTTTTTGGTAGCCCTAGTAGTTCCTGGCTAGGCCGGTCGGTTCAGCCTCTCGTCCGCAGGTAAACTCTGAGGTAGCTAAGCTCTAAGTCAGTCTCCCGGGGTTGGGGTAGCTTTGACTTCATTCGTCGAAGCATATGGTTCATGATCCGCAGTCCTAGCAACACCTGGATCCCATTGTTGGCTGTGCTACCTCCTAAAGCACCATTGAAGTTTTCTCCATTTCCGAGCATACGTCCATATCGATCCCACCTTCTAGGGGTCCACTGCTGAACTGAGATGGATCTGCATGTCAGACATATACTGCTGAATTTTCCTAAAGTGACCCAAGGTCTGCTCAATCTGATCTAAAGTGAGGGTAACTTGAACCTCCCTTAATTGTGGTGACCATGGTGGTGCTAAGATATCGACTGTGATATCCTGAAATGCTCTGTTGTGAGTGTCTTGTGTCCAGAGCCAGTGTCTCAGTCCTATCATCCTCCTTTGTCACCCAAAATGGTTCCACCACTGCTGCTATACTAGAAAGTGTACTGGTGATCTCAGGCCCCATCGAAGGAAGAAGGACGATGTGCTTTCCATCCTTGGTAATTGCGTAGGTGTTTTTGAATCCGTCGTGCTGAGTCTTAAGGTCAAGCTGCCACGATCTCCCCAACAAAGTCCGACAGGCATCAGTAGGAATCATATCACACCACATCTGATTTTGCAACTGGTTTCCAATTAAGAATTTTACTAGACACCTCCGGTTAATGCCGACCCTATCCTCCTTGAGCCACGTCAGGAATACGGTTGGGAGTGCTTTTGAGTCATGAGTCCAATTTCTCTACCATTTTCGTAGATGCCAAATTGTTGTTGCTTCCTCTATCGATGATGAGATTGCAGATCTTCTCAATCATAGTGCAACATGTAGATATACTGTGGCGAAGCTACTACGGATCTCTCGTATCCTTCGTCTGTGGGACCCAGTGAACTATGAACATCTCACCCTCATCCTGTGGAAGATGATACACCTCGCCCTATTCTTACCTCTAATTCTACTTATGAAAACCTAAATTTTATCTAATGACATATAATTAAAAATGACACATATAAATAAGTATATAAGTTCTTATCTTAAAATGTTTGGTTTGCTTGTTTTTTCCCTCCTTACAACTTTATCTGATTTCGCCTCTAATCTTCTGTCTTTAATATCTAATTAAGTTAAACCTATTATTAGCATTTTGTAAGTAAACAAAATTTTCGATTCAAGTAATTAATATCTTAAAACCCTAAATATATGTAAGTTTCGGCTGTTACTGTTTGCACACAATGCTTAAATTTTTGCCAGGCCAGGCTTCTGTTCTCTTCCTAGAGAAGAAACACACGTCTCCTCTCATTCTTCTTCTTCCCTCCTCTCCTTTACTATCATTGCTTCCTTCTCCTTTCTCCCATCTTCCTTCACATGCAGACAAACCACTCATCTCAAAGATGTTTGCTATGGTAACGCAAGCAAGGTCAATATCTTCTCTTTCTTTTTCTTTCTTCTCCTCACTGCCTTTCACTCTCGATTTATTTGCTCTCTCTTACTTTTACTTGTCAATGGTTTGAATGAAGGGAAGTGCGAAAGAAGCATGTGATTTGTTTCTTGCGAGGGGTTGCGTCTCCTCCAAACGACACCCATTTTTTGTATTTATTATTAATATATTAACCTCTTATTACAAAAGCACGTGATATACAATTTGTATATGTGGCTCTCTTGTTTCATGCTTGAACTGATTGATCATGCCAAATTAGCATGCAATGCGTGGCATTGTCTGAGCAAGGTAGATGAGTTGTCTTACTAATTTTTAATAAATTTCCTTTTCAACTATCTTTTTTTCTTGAGCTTCTCCCAGTTTTTGACTTGGATTAATACGTAGCAACTGGTTTACAACTAGCTTTTCAACTCCTTAAAAGAGATCAATGACATTTTTTCATTAGAAAATAAATATACTCTAGTTTTTCAATTTCCTTTATTTCAAATTTGTTTGATTAAACCATCCCAAAATTTGGTTTTGTTTATTATTATTTTTTTAACTGTGATTTCATCGACATAAACTGGAGTGGTTGAATGCTTAATGAAGAGGCAATGAATGTGACATAAGCAAATACATAGAATTTTTATATGTGGAGGATGATAGCATTTGTAACATTTTTATATAGAGTATCCAAGAGACAGAAAATTAAGAGCTCTAGGGTCTAATTTTTCTTGATTTTAATTTTTAAAATGAATAAAAGGGGTACACCCAAAGTGTAAGACCACTAGAGTTTTGGCATGGGCGCAAATGTTTGCAAGGCACTTAATTAGAGTTTTATATTCTGAAGTTCATCAACGAAGTCTATTTATTAGTAATATTATAGTGAGGAAAACTCCCCCACAATAAGACATGGGAACCCTATTTTGAATAGAAGTGCTATAGCGGTTTGAATAATTGACTATTTTTCTTTTCATTGGGCCCTTTTTTTTGTCATGTTTTTACTTATGATGACTCGCAGATTTTACGTTGTTTTTGGAAGTAGTATTTAAAAGTTGATTGTAGTGGTCTCTTGCATCATTCGGCCTAAACTGTATAATATTTACCCCGAATTGATTTTCAATCATGGTGTAAAATGTTGGAATAATGTTGCTAACACCATATTTTTATTTAAGAATATAGGTATGACTTTTGCAATTGTCAATCTAAGAAATGAATCAACCACAGACCCCAAAACTGTTATAGCTTAAATGGCCCCCATCGTCATAATGTATATCATATAGATAGGGTAACACCAGAGCAAAGTATGCTATTTTATCATTAGTTTTGATGTTAGAATTTTTTGGCCCTTTCATTTTGTTGGATTTAAAAAAAACAAAAAAGAAATTATTTTTAATTCTTAAGAAGTTAGAGATAATAGTTGTTTTGTAAGTATTGTCTGACCTTTTTTTCGTCTTGAAAATTCCTTTCTTTTTTGTTGAGTCATGATAGTAAATTTAATATCTATGGTATCAATTATAACTGTAGATAATATAACTGCATGAATAGCAGTGATAGACAATAGTTTTATCCTCTAGAAAAAAATCAACTGGACTCTGATTTTGAGGAGTGGAGGAAGAGTATTTTGGTCCTCATTTTTAATAATAAAGGAGATGCATAAGAGTGCCAGTTATAGAGGTATTAAGTTGATGTGTCATACTTTAAAATTATGGGAGGGTAATTGAACATAGTTCAAGACGTATTACGAAGATTTCTTTTAATCAATTTGGATTTATGTCGGGTAGGTCTACCATGGAAGCTATTCATTTATTGAGAGGTTTGATGGAGAAGTTCAGAAATAATAAGGAAGATTTACATTTTATTTTTATTGATTTAGAAAAAGCTTACGATAAGATTCCAAGAGATATCCTTTGGAGAGTTCTTGAGAAGAAATGAAGAAATTTCTTGAGAAGAAATGTGTTGATATGACTTATATCCAAGTCATTAAAGATATGTATGCTAAAGCTATTACTTGTGTTCGAACAATAGGATGATTGGCCAAATATTTTTCTATTGTTGTTGGATTACATTAGGAATCAGCTTTAAGCCCATATCTTTTTGCTTTAGTTATGGATGGTCTTACTGGACATTTACAGGAGGATGTACCTTGGTGTATGTTTTTTGCTGATGATATTCTTCTCGTGGATAAGACGAGAGAAAAAAAACCCAGGAAAAACTTGAATTATGGAGGTCTACATTGGAGTCTAAAAGCCTTCATTTGAGTTGAACTAAAACTGAATACATGAATGTAATTTTAGTAGTAGTTCTAGTGACAAAAGTGTAACTTTGGGTAATCAAATTATTAAAAGGTGTGAACGTAGATATCTCGAGTCTGTTGTTCAAAGTGATGGTGATATAGATGGGGATGTTAATAGTGGAATTCAAGTTGGTTGGTTGAAGTGGAGTAATGCTTCGGGCCTTTTGTGTGATAGAAAGGTACCACTTAGACTGAAAGGAAAATTTTATAAGAGGGTGTTGAGACCTGCAATGCTCTATGGCACTGAATGTTGACCTTTAAAAGAGAAACATAATACTAAGTTAAGTGTTGCCGAGATGAGAATGATTAAGTGGATATGTGGCTTTACACTTAGAGACAAAATGTGAAATGATTATATCTGTGATAGGGTTGGTGTAGCTCCAGTGACAGACAAAATTAGAGAAAGTCATCGTAGATGGATTGGTCACATTAAACGTCGACCATCTGATTATCCGAGTAGGATAATAGATTTTTAGATTCGACTTATGTTAAGAAAGGCAGAGTTTGACCTAGGAAAACTTGGGTTTATTGTTTAAAAATTGATCTTCATTTATTAGAACTAAATGAAAATATGACACCAAATAGGAAAATATGACACATGACACCAAATAGGACACAATGGAGAAAAAAGATTCATGTAGCCGACCCCACGTAGTGGGATTAAGGCTTTATTGTTAGACTCTGATTTTGAGTGCAAATATAAGCTAATCACTTGAGTGTTTCTCTTGATCATGAATGTTTGTTTTTCTTAAATTCAGACGGGCCTTGAAGCAACCAAAATATTTATGAGCAAAGACCTTAGTACATGAGTAATATTCCAGGTTACTTTCAAATTCAACCTCTAGCCTATTCACACCTCCTTTTGAAGTGAAGTAATGTCCTTGTTCATCAAGATCCTGACCATTGGTGGTCTTAAAAGATGAGTGGTAACAGCATCAACTTGCAAAATTTTTCCAAAAATAGGTTCTAAATAATTAAGAATTGATGAAAGTACTGCAAAAGCAATATAGGAAAATTCACCCATAGAGGGATGATAGGTGACTTCCGGAAGCATCAAATTGAGGTGAACACTTTAGCTTTCTTATCGGATAGCTACTAAAATAGTATGTAAATCTAGAAAGAGTCAATATAGCTTAATCATAAAGAAAGTCTGATAATAATATAACATTAATCAATGAGTCCAACTAATTCTCCAACCAAATAAAGATCTGATATGAATATTTGAATGACATCCAAGTTGGGATGACTTAGGTAGAATTTGCTGATAAGAAAGTAAGAAAATGATCGAGTTAGTTAAGAGATGAAGAATGAGACTGATATTCATATTGTTTCCATTTATGCATCTCTCGAATGGATGTCAAGTCTTTTGATTTTCATATTCCAATAGCCCTTCTTTCAAATTTGTTTAAATTTAACGACGTCCCATACTGATAATCTTCTTGACAAGTCTTACCAATAGGCAAAATTTTTATGCTTTAGAATATTAATGTCTTAATGAGAATGCTCTTTATGCATGGATGAATGCAGATGGATGATCTCCAAATCATGTTTGCTTTTACTTTATTTAAACTACTGGAATTGATTGAAACTGAATGTTTCTCTAACATAGGTTCGGCGATTATTGTGCTCAGCAAGGCCTGTGGCTATCCAAACACCTGCCAGCCCTACTGCCACTGATCAGGACTTCCAGCAGGTTGACTTCTATATTTTACTTTGGGGCATTTACATACATACCTTCCAATTTTTATGTATTTAGTATTTACATATTTAACACCTAAAATTCACATTTATACGACCCAATTCTTTCATATCGCTTAAAAAATACCACAATTTTAACTTTTAAAAGGTGAAAGGAACCATTTCATGCATGTATGTAAAAATTAAAGTTTAGTTAGATAATAAGAATTGAGTGGTATGTATCTAAATGCCCGTTTTCTTTTTTGTTATGCCCACTTGCTTCTTTTTTTGTCATTATTTGGTATCTTTCAAAATTATTGCTAAACTTTCTGTGTGTTCTTTCTGCATTTGGTTTTCTTGTTATGAAATGGGCATTCCTTTGTGATTATGATAAATGGTTACGGAAATTGTTTGCCAGCATAATTATTTGCACAGATATTCATTTGCAAAAATAGACAATGCTTGTGTGCACTTATTAATACAAACATGTGAATTTTTTGGAACTAATGAAAACATGTTGATGCATGAATACAAGTATGGTTGTTTATTCATGCATGTTTTCATAAACATGTCATGCTAGTGAATTTTTTGATAATAACTATATGTGAATAAATTCTATGTTTTGTATCTTCAATGGCACATCATTGACCGAAATCAATGATATACAAATTATTGTTTGAGTTTCGCGACATCTTATAATAATTTACCCATATATCAAGCATATAACAGAATTCATGGATGGTTTGGCTGGAGAGTGAAGGCTCTTAGTTATGTATATATATATATATATATATATATATATATTCCCTGTGCTCTGCTAGGGTTTCTGCGAAATGGATGATTGCTGCCAAGGTTGGAGAGTTGGCGATGGTTTTCTCTGGATATTCTCTACTGCTCTAGTGTGTTTGGAGTGTTTGTCACAATCTCTCCTGGTTTTGCTAAGCTTTCTCCTCTTCCTGGGCTATTGGTGCTTCAAATTTTGCTGTTCCTTTGATTTGTGGCCTCTGTTGGAAGCTTCTGTTGTGGAGCTTTGTTTTGCTGTCTTTTGGTCTTGGTATTTATACTTGGTGTGCTTTGAAGTTCTGAATTTATTCCTCTTGACTTTGCTGCCTTTTCTGTTTCCTGAGTGGTTGAAGGTTTTAATCCCCTCTTCCTTTGGACTGTTGGCTCTTCTCTTTTGCTATTCTCGGGCTCCCTGATGGCTGATCCAAATGCATTGGATTTGGCAAACTTTTGCAGACATTGTGGGAAAGGGTTTTGAAACTATTAAAATATATGATGATTTAGGGCCGAGCGGCGTTTTGAACCCGCCGCCTCACTGTTTGGTACCTACTTATCGAGAGATTATTGAAAAATGCGTTTTCTAAATTGTAAAAGACGCGGACCGCGGGCTGACCCCCGCTGTCCACTGTCCACGTTTTCCGATTCCAATTTACGCAATACGCCCTCGATCCCGCTCTCGTGACCTTGCTTTGTCCTTCGCCTCTCCTGTGACCCTAGCTTCGCCTCTCGCTCTCGTCTCTGTTCAAAGCCCCGACTAGGAGCTTCGCCTCTCGCTCTCGTCTCCGTTCAAAGCCGGATCGCAGTCGTTCGCCCAGCGCTCCCGTCACCAACCCGTTCGACGCCGGATCCAACAACCCTTCGCCTCTCGCTCCCGTCAGCAAGCCGTTCTACTCCGGATCCAGTAGGGCTTCGCCGCTCGCTCCCATAATCTTGCCATTCGACGTCGGATTGAGGCTCGCTCCGATAACATCTGTTCGACGCCGGATTTAGCAGCGGAGAATCCATCGCCGGAGTCCAGCAGCGGGGAGGGGAACCATCCACAGATCTGCTTCTTTCTCGAAGTGGTTCTTCGGGCTTCACTCCTTTTCCACCTTCTTCGGTTTTTCTGTAGCCTTCTTCGATTTTTCTGTAGCCTTCTTCGATTTTTCTGTAGCCTTCTTCGGTTTTCCTCGCTACAGGTATATCTTCTTCGTTTTCTTTGTCATTACACTTTTACAGCGACTTTAGTTTTTTTAATCATCTACGGTTTTGCCTAAAGGAACAATCATCGATATTTTGTAATCACTAAATCTGATATTTTGCTTCAATGTCAGATCTAGTGATTTCAATGTAATCACTATCCGTTTTAACCATCTGCAGTAAATGAGCAATATCGATATTTTGATCCATAAAAGCAAATAGATCCCTCAAGATATTGCCTAAAATTTTGCTTCAATGTCAGATCTAGTGATTGCATATTGCTTCGTTCTTCTCCAATTATTGCTTCAATGTCAATGTCAGATCTAGTGATTACCATATTACAGAGATATGTTGTTTCAATTCTTATTACATATTGCTTCAATGTCAGATCTAGTGATTACCATATTATAGAAATATGCTGTTTCAATTCTTATTTTGGTTGTTAGGATGGCTATCTTTTGTCGGTCTTATCGTTCTACTTTTTTTATTTTGGCTGTTAGGATGGGAATCTTTTGTCGGTTTGATCGCTTCTTGCCTGTTGGGATTGTCATGTGCTAGTTGCATTCCCCTTTGGCTTCTCTCTATGAAGTCGGTTTGATTACAAGTTCTTGATTTGTATGAAATTTTTTTAAATATGATGAATCCTAGAGATGCACAATCATTAAACCAAGCTAGGAAATACATTTTTCTATCTTCAGAATGGAATCATCAAGATTTATTTTAGGTATGTTTTGATCTCAATTTCTCTCTTCTCCTTCTTCATTGTTGATGGTTTGTGTGAAACTCAATGAGATTTTTTTGCAATTGATTTGTTTTGGTTGTTGGAAATTTGAAATATACAAGTTACTTCTTAAGAGGTTTTGTTTATTGTTGGATGGTGAAAGGTTCGAAGCTTTTAAGGTATGTTGATTATTGTTAGATGGCGCAATCATCATCTGTTACTTTTAAAAAGGTGCAAGTGCTAAGTATTACTCTTATAATTTCCAATTTTTTATTCTAAACCCTAGACATATTGGATCAATATTTGGTTTTTAGTTTTTACACATCTTTGTTTTCATGTTATTAGATGCTTCTGGCATATTTTACAATTCCTATGTATTTACATCTTTAACACTGAAACTTCATTACTATGATCTTTTGTGGGATGTTTTACTCTTATAGTTTCCAAGTTTTTATTCTAAATTTTTTATTTTGAAATTTTCTGAAACTTCATTGTTGGCTTTTGACATTTACGTACATATATATCTAACTGTTTATAACATATTGGATCAATATTTGGTTGATTGTTGGAGAATATTGAAGTTTTGTTGTCCTCTTGATGAAATGAGTCCTTTAAGTCTTATTTTTCTATTTTATAATCTTTTGTTGTCTAATTTTTTATTTTGAAATTTTTAGAGGGTGGATATAGAAATTGTTCTTTTGTTTTGTGATTTCTTTGCCATGAAAAGAAACATTTTGTGTTTATCCGTTAATCTGACAGAACTCAATGAGTAAAGCTAAAGAGGCTGGAACATCGGTCATGTGAGATAGAGAAATTACTATGATCTTTTATGATTTATGTGTGAGGGAGGTTGAGGTGGGAAATAAACCCATTATATTTTTTAGCAAAGAAGGGTGGCGAAATATCTTGGTTAAATTCAAAGAAATGACTGGAAGAGCTTACTATCGCATGAAAATGAAGAACAAATGTGACCAATTAAAGAAGGATTGAAAACTATGGAAAGAACTGAAAAGGGGATCAACGGGAATGGGTTGGGATCCAATTAAGCAGACAATAGAGGCACCAGAAGAATGGTAGGCTGAAAAACTATAGGTGCATAATTAACTCTTTTTATTTTATGTTTAATTTAATTTCGCATTGAGTTGACATTATTTTATTAATGCACATTTGTTATCTATATCAAGCAGTGCCGTCAGCAAAAAAATTTAAATTCGTTCGCATTGATCCAGTAATGGAGGAAAAATAATATGGAATGTTCACTGGGGTTGTCGCTACAGGAACTCATGCGTTCACCCCAAATGATATAGGGTTTGGCAGCTCAGCCCAAGAGATGGATACCGTGCAGATAGGTGATTCAAGCGACCGTCCTAACCATGTTCACACAGATGTTCAATCCACGAGTGTGCCCAAGCATCCCAGGGTAGAAAAGAAGAACAAAGGGGTTGCTTTCATTAAAGGCACTATTGATGCACTTGTTGAAACATGTATCTTCAAGCTCGGTTTTCTTCATCGCAGGACAGCTCAATTGATGAGTGTCTTCAGGTACTCAATACATATTCTGATGTTAAGGCAGACGATGATAACTACATTCAATACATGAAATTACGATCGCATGAAAATGAAGAACAAATGAGACAAATTAAAGAAAGATTGAAAACTATGGAAAGAACTGAAAAGGGGATTAACAGGAATGAGTTGGGATCCAGTTAAGCGCACAATAGAAGCACCAGAAGAATGATGAGCTGAAAAACTACATGTGCATAATTAACTCTTTTTATTTTATGTTTAATTTAATTTCGCATTGAGTTCACACTATTTTATTAATGCACATTTGTTATCTATATCAGGCAGTGCCGTCAACAAAAAAATTTAAATTCGTTGGCATTGATCCAGTAATGGAGGAAAAGCTAGATGGAATGTTCACTGGGGTTGTCGCTACAGAAACTCATGCGTTCACCTTCATGCGTTCACCCCAAATGATATAGGGTTTGTTAGCTCAGCCTAAGAGATGGATACCGTGCAGATAGGTGATTCAGGCGACCGTCCTAGCCATGTTCACACAGATGTTTAATCCACGAGTGTGCCCAAATGTCCCAGGGTAGAAAAGAAGAACAAAGGGGTTGCTTTCATTAAAGACACTATTGATGCACTTGTTGAAACATGTAAAACTCGGTCTTCTTCATCGCAGGACAGTTCAATTGATGAGTGTCTTCAGGTCCTCAATACATATTCTGATGTTATGGCAGACGATGATGACTACATTCAATACGTGAAAGTGTTACGAGATCTAACCATCAGACAATTTTTTATGAAGTTGGAGCCGAAATACCGAG